TTGGTGCAAAAATAATGACGTAATAATATCGTTTTTGACGTTAAAAATACGTCAAAAACGACATTATTACGTCATTATTTTTGCACCAACCTAATATGTCTGAACTGGACACACCAGTCGGCTACCCTCGAACTGATTGTACACTTTCGATTATTTTTCTCAAGTTGTGATATAAAAATAAAACTGCAGGCATTTATATCTCCTTCGATATAGCCCCTTCTAAAGTTTCACGCATTACACAGCGTCGTTGCTATTGATGGATACATTTCCTGGGACTCATTTTTGGGGGACAGCGAGCAGCTACCTCGTCGCATTCTCTTAAATTTCTTTGATGTCTCGAAAACTTGTTTCTATCTATTTTTTAATCTAATAAGTTAGAGAAGCGCGGTGAATAGCGGCTCGGATTGAGGCAACGGAGAGCCGAGTTCGAATTCCAGTCGAATCGATTACATTCACTTACGGTATTGGGAAAAGTATGAATCCTCTTCTTCTCCCCCAAGCTATGGTTAAATAGCAGGACAGATCAGGTTCTATAGCCTTGGATGGCAACTGGTCTACCGCAGAAAGAAATCACAACCTACTACAGGAAAAATTATGCCTCGTAAATAATGTATCGAAAGATACATGATCGTGTATCACGCATGGCACATAACTGAACTGAAGGTAGAGAAACAACACAAAACTTGCTATGTATGGAAAGTAAAAGAAAAAACAAAACTAAAAAGAAAAGAAAATAAACGTTGTATATCATGCCAAGAGTATAAATTGGCGATTATGCTATGCCCGGAACAGAATAAGCTGCTTAACTAAAATCTGCAGCATGCGAGGGTATTGCTACTAGCAAGCTATAAACATATAGAGTATTTATATATAATAAAACGTAAGAGTATTTATATAAAATATGTCATTTTTTTCTTTACACTCTTTGCTTCTTTACCCCCCCGTCTTTACCTACGATATAATTGCGTATATAAGAATGTCTTGTGATCGTATATCCAATTTTAATGCCTGAACATACCTGTTTGTTGGAAGCCACTCTAGCAAGAAGTTAAGTTTTCTAAATATTTTATACGTAAATTTCAAAATTGGTTATTCCTAAATTTTCGCTTCAGAATGAAACAGGGCTTGTTACTTTAATTCAGTTTAATTTTGATAATTATATTGATGGTTTCGGCTCTCGTTTTTGATACATGAGAACTCTTATGTAGCGAAGGAATCATATTTTTTTTTTTATAATTATAATATATATATATATATATATATATATATATATATATATATATATAGATAAAGATATATATTTTTATATATCAGGAAGAATATTGGAGAAAAAAGAGACTGACCACAATTTTGACATAAAAAATTCCTACTCTGATTAAAGGAGAAAATAATTCACTACGACGAATATGTCTAAAGAGTGCCTTGATCGCACAGTCATCTACAGTAAAATTGCAAAGGATGAGACCTGGGGAATAGGTTGATACAACTTAGGGAATGTTGTACTTTGCCAAAAACTGCTGCACAAACCATGGTCACTGGTGGAGCTTCTCTTATGTGGTGAGACGACCACACTCTACACTTGAATGCGCCGCCATAAACAAGGTAAGTGTTGAGAGGTTCTCCCCTTTTTACACAAATGGACTCACCCAGGGTATACATATACTACTGCTAGTGAATACCCGGGAGATCGAAGGTAGAACGAGGAACGAACAAGGTGAGCGAACGAGAAAGAACGAGACCGTACGAACGTAGCGAGCAAGAGTCACAGTGAGCGAGCACGTAGACTCAGTAAGAAGTCATACAGTGATACGTCGATGCCAAAAACTGTATATATATTTTGCTACTAACCCGCATTCCTGGAACTACTAACCTGCTTTACCAGTTTGTATTATTACATTAATACATTTATTTTCCTATATTCCTTCTTGGCGTTTGTTATTTATTGGTACCGGATTTCATCTCGGAATCCACAACAGTAAGTGAGCGAAAATGATCTACAGGAATCGAACCTGTATCCTACACAGAACCGTCACATGGCCTGATGTGCTATACCATTTAGCTACGGAGGGGGCATCTCGAGGCGGTGTAATGGTTAGCAAGCTTGGCTCGCTAGAACAATTACGACTGAGTAGTGAGTTCGATCCTCACTGGGTGCTCCCTAATTTCGGCCTTGTGCCACATCTAAGCTACGCTTGGAAAATCACTATTTGGGCACGTCGGCGTGGTGTAATGGTTAGCAAGCTTGTCGTCTCGCTAGAACAATTACAACTGAGTAGTGAGTTCGATCCTCACTGGGTGCTCCATACTTATTGCCTTGTGCCACATCTAAGCAGCGCTTAGAAAATCTAAGGGCACCTCGAGGTGGAGTAATTGTTAACAAGCTTGTCTCGCTAAAACAATTACAATTGAGTTGTGAGTTTGATCCTCACTGGGTGCCCCTTACTTTCGGCCTTGTGCCACATCCAAGCTACGCTTGGAAAATCACCATTTAGCTACAGAG